ACCGGGCTTTTCACTTAAACTCGGTTTCACCTTCATTGAGCAGTTCTGCGTAACGTCCCCTGTGTCTTCGCAAAACCTGACTCTTCGTACACTTTCGTACGATGCTAGACGGTGTTAGCCTTCGTTGCGTAGCGTTCATATTTCACGGCTGTTCCATGATGAATGGATGACGTGCCATATGCTATATTCTCTATTGTATGCTCCACACAATGTATTTATCACGCTACTTGTCCTGTGACATAGATTATTAGTGAAAGACGGAAGATATACCTGAGGTGTCTACCATATGTAAGGACGAAACGGTTGGTTCTGCAGAAGTAATTTGCATGACTTCTCACAAAAACAAAACCGTCCGCTGGCGGGCGTGACGTTCGGCAAATGCCGTGGATCGGTTTCTTGAACGTTCCATCGGGGGCTCGGCGTCGCTTACGTTGGTCACGTCCCTTCCCTTTTTTGGTGCACGGATTCCCTTGCGATTTCCCTTTGCGATTACTGTTCCCTTCGCTGACTCTCTTTCTCATTGTAGCTCGCCCCCATCATCCAGGCCGTTCGAGCCATTGCTTCTGCCTCCTCTGTTGGCAGTGACAGCCTCCAAGAGACCACAATGACCACAATGATTGCAATAGCAATTGTTGTGGTCATCCTTGTCCTTGTTGGGCTTGGCATAATGTACTACTGGTGGTGGCCTGCCATTCCAGTCCACAGCTTCTACAGCTGGATGCCGTGCTTTGTCGTCATCCCACTAGAAGAGCACAGGCATAGTGAAGAGTGCAGAAATCAGGGCATTCCTGATATCCCCCCAGCACGCACAGTGTGCAATTGCAGCTGGGAACACTACAGTGAGTGCACTGTCAGTTGTTGGCCAATGGATATGGTAAGTATTTAGCAGTTCTATTTGAGTTTTTGGTGTTTTCTTACCTGGGAATGAACCACAGATGTCAGATGTGGCCAGTATCAGCTTTGGTGATCATCCAAGTGAGCCTGCTGCCACGAGTTCAGTGCTGCTGCCACCTGCTACTACTAATGGGGCCAAGAGCTGTTGTAGGGAATGAGATTCCTCCAGGCATAGATTGCCCATATTACAACTCACGATGATTGGTATAGTGTGCAACTCACTATCTATGACTTTCCAGTAAAATGCACCAGAGGCATGACACTTTCCCACATTATGCGACGCATTCCTGCACATGTGCTTAGCGCACTCTTCCTGTGCTCAGTCGCCCTTTGTCGCGCAACATCCTGGAGCATCCATTGATCATCCAACCAGTTCCCTAGTGAGTCCTTCCTCGTCTATTCTCATTATCAGACCATATTTAGTATTTGTATGGCATTATTTCATCATGGACCCTTATTTACATCATTTACATACTTAGAGCGCTCCCTGTTCGCTTCTGAGCCCTGGGAGCACGCCTAGGCACAGCTTACCTGTTGCGGAGGAAGTTTTTCATCTACCTACCACCACCATCCAGTAGCATCTAGCAGTCAGAATCATCATGAGTTAGCATCATAGTTGTCACCCTAGTCCCCAGCAACAGTCCATTATCACCATCAGTCACCATTCAGCAGTCTCAGCACACATCCTCACACCAATCATTATCTTTTACATGTTTGCACACTGCATGCACCTTATTCCCACACTTCACGCACCTATGCACTCAACATTCCTGCGCACACGCTTTCAGCACACTTCACCAGAGTTGACCTGGTGTCACTTCATGGATTTGCTTTCCTTGCTTCCCTTAAGGGTCAAACATATTGCCTGGCACACTTTGACCAACATTTAGAGAGTCAGTAGGCCTTCCTCTCACCACCAGAGTGAGAGCCTCTTTCTGTCTTTCTTTTGCTCTGCAAGCCAGCAGAGTTGTTGAACCTTCACTGTGCTTCCTCTGTCCATCCAAAAGACAGCAACAGCAACTCCTTCCAGTGCCCTGAAGCTAGTGACATTGAGCACTGCAGCAAGTGCAATGCCAGCTTTCTGGAGATGGTGAGTCCACCTCCATGATGTATCAGTGTTTCTTGCTTTATTTGGCACTTACTTACCTGGAATCCTGCAGACAGATACTGGCCCAAGTGAGCACACTCACACAGCTTAGTGCTGAGTAGGGAGACAATAAGAGATGCTAACACTATCATATATGCAGATACAAGTACTATACGAAAAATGACATGGGCTCTGTGCATCTATTTAGTCTGAATCAGTAAGTTCCAGTACCCCCAAGGCATAAGCATCAAAAGTACATCTCTTCCTCTTTGTGTTATGTGATGCTTGCTGTTTGGCAGTGTCTCTGTCAGAATCAGTTAGTTCTATTATCTCCATGCCCTGATGATCACAGGATGCCATTGCAGTGGATGTGCCCAGTTGCCACCTCTTGCCACCTCTGCTTCTGAATGCATGAATGAGTGCTGGAAGATGATCTTCTACCAATGGTACAGGCACCCAAACCTGGCTCATCAAATCCACCAATATGTCAGACTGTGAGTTGATAATGGTGGCAGACTCAGTGGGTGTCCACTCTGCCATGTGCTGGACTTGCATCACACCTTTCTTTGCAGCAGTGATGAGTGTGTGACTTGACCTTGACTCGGTACTGTTTTAAGGCATGTGAGGATGGTGCATCTCATTTAGAGTGGATTTGGATGATAGACTCTGGCTCAGTCTAGCATAATATCAGAATGGGGTAGTGTGACAGTAAATACACACTGGCTGGCTCACCTCTAGAAGCACATGGATACAGATTCCAGGCCAAATGTAGTCCTGCAACTTCCACATAGTCCCCATGCTCTCTGCATCTCTTACTGGGCCTGGGGGCATGTATTTTGACCAGCAAAAGTGGAACTCACACAGATATGCAAGATTCTCTAAGTCCAAGACCTTTGAGTGGATGAAATCATGACTGACTGGCTGCACAGAGGTCGGGGGTTTGACATATGCCAGTACAACTGATACATCAGGAAAATTGTCAGGAACATTGTTCAAAAACTTGGGGTGATGCCAGCCAATGTGGCCAAGTGGATCCTTGACAAGGATTTCTTGCAGGCAACAGGACCAGCCACAGATATAGTCCTTCAGTCTTTCGTGGTTTGATGTGAGTAAATGGGCCTGAGCCTCTTGAAGGAGATCATTGCCAATACCATATTGCACCAATCCACACACTGTTCTCCACCCACAGCCTGGAAGTCCATCCTGGGAGTAAGGTACAGTAAGCAACAAAACTGTTGCAATGTTTGTATGAGATTGATTACTCTAGCTATATCATTGCAGGGATGGCAGCTATGAAAATGTAAATAAGAGCAATATTGTAGCCCTACATCCAGGCTACAATAGTTGTACTACATTGAAGATGTGAAAACATTTCCTTAAAAGGATATAAGCAATTTACTACATGGTATGCATTGCAATGGTTTTGTTGCTGATATTTTTCAATATCAAAATCCTATCAATAGACATCAGTTATGTTATTGAGTATGTCTTATAATGTTATGTGACATGTAAAAGGGTCAATATGATATAAACAAAGCCAAATGTTGAACTTTCTCAACATCCATCATCATGAAAGCCCTTTCTGCTGACAAAACCAACCAAATCCTTTTTTACCTTGATTCTAACCAATCTACAAGGGAGATCTCACATGCTACTAGTGTACACCATAGTACCATTATCAGAATTCACTCTGAACTTAATTCTGACCTTCAAAAGACCTCTGGTGGTTGTCCTTCTGTCTTTTCATCTCCCAATATTCAGCATGCTATTTGGTTAATCAGTACAGACAAGGCTGAAAATGTCACTCAAGTCACAAGAGCACTTCAGGATGTCAAGAACCAGCCTATGTCCTCTCAGACAACCAATCATTCCTTGAGGAAATCTAGTATGAAGCTTGTAGTGAAGCAAAAACACCCTCTTGTCTCCTGCTAGCCTGACACTCAGGCCCTCTCCTGTCCCTTTCCAAGCCCATTTCCTTTCATCTGGCCCCAAATGATTGATTTTGGTTTCATATAACCATATGACTCTTTTCAAGCTATCCACTATCCAGTGCTGGTGACTGATAGCAAAGTATAGTCTTACTCTCCTATACGCTTAGATAGGAGAGGGTGTTTTTGCTTCACTACAAGCTTCATACTAGATTTCCTCAAGGAATGATTGGTTGTCTGAGAGGACATAGGCTGGTTCTTGACATCCTGAAGTGCTCTTGTGACTTGAGTGACATTTTCAGCCTTGTCTGTACTGATTAACCAAATAGCATGCTGAATATTGGGAGATGAAAAGACAGAAGGACAACCACCAGAGGTCTTTTGAAGGTCAGAATTAAGTTCAGAGTGAATTCTGATAATGGTACTATGGTGTACACTAGTAGCATGTGAGATCTCCCTTGTAGATTGGTTAGAATCAAGGTAAAAAAGGATTTGGTTGGTTTTGTCAGCAGAAAGGGCTTTCATGATGATGGATGTTGAGAAAGTTCAACATTTGGCTTTGTTTATATCATATTGACCCTTTTACATGTCACATAACATTATAAGACATACTCAATAACATAACTGATGTCTATTGATAGGATTTTGATATTGAAAAATATCAGCAACAAAACCATTGCAATGCATACCATGTAGTAAATTGCTTATATCCTTTTAAGGAAATGTTTTCACATCTTCAATGTAGTACAACTATTGTAGCCTGGATGTAGGGCTACAATATTGCTCTTATTTACATTTTCATAGCTGCCATCCCTGCAATGATATAGCTAGAGTAATCAATCTCATACAAACATTGCAACAGTTTTGTTGCTTACTGTATGCTAAAATCAACTGCAAATAATCAAGCAGGTTCTAAACTTACATGGTAGTCACCACCACACAACAGAGCCATAAGCAGAAGGCCACCATTAGAGAGCATTACCTCTCTATGTTGCTGAATATTGTCAGCAGAGTAGATAATAACGTTGTTGGAGCAACTTGGATCACTGTAGCACTGTGTAAGATGTTTGAGAATAGTGACAGTGTTGGAATTACCTCCTGAAGACATGTGAAGCCCCAAATACCAGTGCATCACTGTCCTTGGTGATGACCACATCGATAACACCACTGTGACTAAGTGCAGCAAGTTCTGCCTCAGCCTCACCAGCAGCCTTGAAAGATTAGTAGTAACAGTAGATAATTATCTAAAGTGGCTTTGAGAATGACTCACATCATGGACAGCAAATCCCAATGTCTGTGCAAAGTGCTTGAATGGTTCTGTCAACCATGGCAGAGTTTTCATGATGTGCATGCCTCTCTTGATAGTGGGCTTGGCTGGTCTATCAAAGACAACAATGACCTCACTTGGAATGCAGTACAGATGAGCTAATTTTCAAAACAGTGACTTTAACTCAGCATTTGCTCCAGCTTGAGCATGACCTCAGTAAGGGGTATGTTGGCTCTCAGCCATCCAAAGACTTGCATCATATTATGTGAGTTTGGACTTTGAAGACTCAATCATTGAGAATGCTCACTTTCTGTCAACACCCAGCCAAAGCCTATTGTTTTTGGGCCCTTCAATTGTTGAAGGATCTTGTTCCTGAGCAACAATCCAGGAAGTGGCATATTCAAGCAGTGAGTGCTTGTCTCCAGCTGGAGCAATAGCCTGAATAAAAATAGCTCTCAGAATACAAAAAACCAGTAGCAAGGTGAATGTATATACCATCCAGAGATCATTGATTCCCATGACAGGCAAGCTTAAGGATGGATAGAGGCCCCTATTCACTATTTGCTCATCATGTATGTAATTCATTAATTCAATGATAGTGTTTGAACTCACGAAATTTTTCAGACACTGTTTGTCTTATGCCATCATTTCATGATGGAGACCACAACCTTGCCCTTTCCTGTAGGCTTTGACACTAGTAGCGGGCAACCACAAGTAGAATTATTGTCCATGTAAGTTGGTTTTCTTACTTTGGAGGTTCAAACTCAACATGGTAATACTAGTTCAAGCATGACAGTGAAGACTCTCAAACACTACTGCCACATGTTCAGTCTCAAGGTCTGTGCCAATAAAAGCCTCCTCCAATCTCAGCTGGAGGAATTCAGTAAGGACCAAGGCCAGTGGGACAGGTGAGTCCAATAAAATATATATTCATTTGCCAAGGGAACCTGACTATCGCATAAATTACTACAAGGCTTTGTCCAGGCATGCATTGGCCACACAAGGGCAGTCACACTGTCACTGGAGGGGGTAAGAAAAAATCAAGCCATCCAAAACTATTGGCACAGTGTCTCACAAAACTCCATGGGGATAGGGATGCCAGTGCAGTCCATGATGGACGCAATGCATTTGAGTGTTTGAAGGATTTACACACTCCACAAGAGATTGATGAGATCCTTCCATGGGTAAGTCATCAATGCCATGAGTTAATGACTTGATCATACTTACAATAATGGCCACTGGCAGGCACATGCCATCATTGTGAAGCACCTGTACAGGCCCAAGTCTGAGGTAACCACCAGTGAGCCAATGTCAGCTAGGCCTAGGAGTAGTGGGGTATTCCTACCTCAATGGCAGACTGAGAGCACAATTTCCTCCATCACATCAGAGGTGGGCACTCACTCAGTCATTTGTCACCATCTGAACCATGGTTTTTCAGATTGCACAAAAAGTTAGTGCTGGGATAATTGCCCAACTAGATGCAACAAATACAGCTGACAGCTGTAATATTGATTCAGATTCCAAGAGTCTCATGGCACCTTCCTCTGATAGCAAGTCCATAGCCCATGCAGTGGATGAAACACATCACCTCAAGCTAGGAGATGGGACTGAAGTAAGCTTTGTGGTTAGTGATGTACCAGATCCTATTGCTGTCACATTCAAGCAGGATATCCCACGTCTCAATGCCATGTGGGATGATACCAGTCCTTACTGGGGGAAAGAATCAGTGCTAATGATTAAAGGACACCCTATTCCAATAGTATACTGGCCATATGTTTACCGTTATGGCAAATATGGCCAGTGGCAGGGAACTAAAAGTCAATGGATGGGTTGGAGGGTAAGTGAATGCATTTGCTAGTATAGTCAACTCACTCGGTCTTGCAGGATATTGTCTCTCAATACCGTCAAAGCACACCAGAAGACTTCTGGAAGGAATTTTCAGTCAATGGCTGTGCAATGAAGTTCACAAGGATTGTCAACAAACTTCACAGACAGCACAATATCAGCAATGATGACATGGTTACACAGGTCCACAAAGAGTTTGGGGATGCATTTGACTCACTATTCTCATATCGCAAGGGAGATGAGGTTCATGTTATGAGAAACAAGTCAGCAATTGTCCACTGCTATTGGCAGTTAAAGAAACTCCAGTAGGTATACTTGTACTTTTCCCCTTGCTTTGTCCCATAGTTCCCAAACTGCAACCCATGTTGAATAAATCAGGTACTCATCTGAGTTTTTGTAAATGATGCTCAGTCATGTCTTGGAATGCACCATGGGTGATGCCTTGATAAGTCAAAGGTTAGGCTAGCACTTAAAACTTTCACACTATATTGCATGATCAAAGCATGGTCATCATTAAATTGATGTAAGGTAGTACAAGGTAACAATATCAAGCACATGGGCATGACCTTCTGCAATGTGGGCACTTGACAGATGGGCTGTGGTAAGGGTTGAAAAAATGCTCACAAAGCTCTGTGGCATCATCATTGTGTGAGATGAGATATTTGACAATCATTAAGTTAGTAAACTTGAGGCTCCAGCCTCCCCATTCACATATGTGATGCAGCGGCCACCGGCATTCAATGTGCAGATACTGGTAGCCCCCATGCCAAAATGAATGTGTACCATATGATGAGGGATCCACCCCAATATCCAGGAGATTGTTGTGAAATAACTCTAAAAATCGTTCAGATGTCTAAATTGCATGATTTGATGAGATTCATGATGTATTCCATCCAGAAAGAGGCTTACCAAAGGCTGGTTGGCTTCTGTGATTCAATCACCTGAAGCAAACTTTTGGAATAAATAACCAGTCAGAATTTTAGAGGCTACAATCCACTTGGCAATAGCTTGAATGGCACATAGGTGCTCTTCTGTGGGCATGATCCACAGCCAAAAAGGTTTGATATCTGAATTGTTGTTAGTGTGTTGGATCCAGGCCAAGAAACTATTCCACACTGCCATTTTGGTGTGTTTTCTTGAATGGAAGCATCAGAATGAGACCATTAGAAAAGAAATGAAGGTTGTGAAGCTGTATTTTCAGGACTTCATCAGAGTGTAACATACAAAGAAATGCTATTGTGTAAGCAGCATGCAAGCAACGCTTGATGCATCCACCAGCCCACCATGATGACTCACTAGAGCCATCACTACATCTTCCAGGCTGGTAATCAAGGATAGCCCAGTTTTCAGGGTGATTGTTAAAGTGATACATTCTTTTCAGAATATGCTGTGGGCCAGCAATAATCAGCGGAGTAGCTATACAGAGGGAAAGTACTAATGGACGTGATAGCACAAGCACTGATTGCAACCTCGCCTGCCTGAACCTGTTGAGTAGCAAGCAGACATGTCAAGTACATTCTCAGCATTAGTGAGTAATCTTACCTTGCAGTGCCACAAGCTGCACATGTAACTAGACACCTCAACTGACACTAAGGGGTTACCTAACATCTGGCTGCTATGCAACTCTGATTCATGCCATGGCAGATTGCCTAGACCCTGCAGATGCCCAAATGCATATGTCATTGCTGCCCACATCTTCTGGGCATGGCCATACAATCATCTCTCATTGGTGGATGGCTTATTTGTCCCATCAAGTTTCATGGAGTCACATCTGGTACCAAGAGCATGTGAGAAGCAAAAAAAGAAGTGGGAGGCATAGGACTTACATGTCCATAATCCATGCCACAATGAGGTAAGCTGCTTCTTGGTGAGGTGAATGAGAAAACAGGGACTCACCATCCTGAAGGAGGCCATGCTCCCTCAGGAAGGTGTTGCAGTTCAAGATTAATCTGCAATTTTCAGTGAAGGGGCTGCATAGATCAATGAGAACAGACTGTGCACCTTTTATACTCAGACTCAGTGCTATCTGAGATTCCTTTTGACACATGTTTTAGAGTCTCTTGAAGGGACAAGAGCCCATCCATAACACTGGTGCTGTTATCAGCTGCAACTTCAGGCAACTCAGACATGAGAGTTTCCTGCTCTGCAGCAACATCATCAGCAACATCATCCAGCTCAAGCGCTGTGTCTGGTGTTGCAAGGGCATTGTAAAGCCTGGGATATGTTTCACAGTTGAGTGGCATGTGGGATGGTGGTAGTGGGTAAGGACAGACAAGACTGAGCCTTATATTGACCAAGCCCCTATGTAATAGTGATGTAATCAGCAGCATACTTTGTTGTATTGGACAATGGATGACAGAACAAGATACCTAAGTCATGAAGTGAACACTGGACTGTCTAGGTGTACAAAAGTACTGTCTAAGTGCTCATTGGGACCATTTTTTTCTAGTCGATGGTGGTCAGACAAGCATGAAACCATCAACTTTAGCTGAGGAATATGCTTGCTCACCAGTGGCTTCCTTTGCAGAAAAAAACAGTCCAGTCTGTATGGCTTGCCACCAGTCACACCTCAATATCCACAAGTGATCACCATATCCATGCCATAGAAGATCTCCAGTGGGATGTGAAACTACACAGCCATAAGTGTTACAGCCAACACCATGATCAAAGGCCCTCACAACTCACATACCACCTGCTCAAGGCAGTACCAACAATTCCATATTGGGCAGCGAAGGTGCATCTGTGTTGCAAACAGGCCAGGGGATATTTAATGGGCTGGGGAAGCACACAGTTTGATTCCCTCATCTGCTGTTTCTCTCCCACTCTCAGCAGCCTCGACATTCTCCCATTCACACCCTTATGCCCCACCCATATCCTAATCCTCATCTCCCAACCTCTCAGTTAGGGAGCTGGACCTGCAAGATGCCATGTGTAAGTCTCATTATTTTCGTTAGCATTGGCATTGACAGCATTGCTGCTTCATGGGAGATGCCATGGAGCATGTGCCATCAGGCTGTGTTTTGTCTTTCTCCAGTCCCTGTTTCGTTCTTGCCTTTTCCCATGTCATTCTTTCAGTGGGTCAGAGTGGGTCAGTGGTCAATGGCGAGAGCATTTGGCGGTTGATGGAGAGCTGGAGGATGGCTGGGTCGATGGATTGGGCTGACTTCAGATGGTCATGGTTGGTCATGTCATGACCACCAGTGACTGGACCATTTGTTTTGCAGTTTGCAGGTTTACTTCCATGTGTGGATATAAAGCATGCAATAAACAATGTCACACCTTCATTGTATGTACTCTAGGAAGGAGATAACATCATGGGACAAGAGAGATCATTGTAAAGGTGACTGTCAGTATACCCAGGGGATGTGCAACAGAAAAACGGCCAGAAATGAGCCCAGCAACCAGCATGTCTAAACGTTGCATGAGGACTAGTGTTTGAAGTTGCAATGAGAGGTGCATTGGAGGTGGAGACAACAGCATAGGGTTGTGAAGACGAGCTGTGCCACTGGATTGTTGCACAATGGTACCATTGGGAGGGCGCGATCTGCGTGCAGTAGGAATTCTTGGAATTGACCACTGTCTCTCTCTTGCTGAAGCGTTTCTCTATGTGATGTGAGATAGAGTTCAAAGAAGAAGATGGTATCAGGAGGAGTTGAACATTCAAGAGGGATAAAGTGACATATGCGTTTGGCCTGACAATGTGGGACGCCAACTACTGCTGAGGGATCCTCATATAGGCATCTGTGCCACTTGGTCTGCTAAGGAGACAATTTCAAACCAAGTGGAAAGGGTGGGGCCAGGATGAGATATCGTGGGCATTGTGGTGTATAGGGCAGAATAAAAACAAAAAATGGCTACAAAGAGTGCTTTCACGCCATGGTGATGATCAAGAGTGGGGGTGGTGTTGTGCAGACAACTGAGGATATTAAGATGATGAAAACAGGACTGGATGGAACATAATTAACAACGTACGTGAGCATGATGTTGTGTGTTGTCAAAAAGGCCTTGGCATACCCAAGGGGAAGCCTTGATTGGCTTGTCCAAAAGAAGGTCGTCCAGGCCAGCTTCCTCTAATATCGCAGAAACATCCCAAGTATACATGCTTTTGTCATCGCAGCAAGTGGCTAGTAGCTTTCCATCTGCTGAAAATGACATGACAGTGATTGTATTTGCATAGTTGAGGGGTGAACTGATGGGCTGATTATCGTTGAGGTTCCACAATCGTGCTGTCTTGTCCCTTGATGCACTTGTGAGGACGTGGCCATTGGGAGATATTGCAATGCCATAGACACTTTCAGTGTGCCCATCCAGCACAGCAATCTGGTTTGAAGTGTTCCATGTCCTAATTGAGGAATCGACTGACCCAGATATAAGTGTTTTTCCATTTGGGGTCCAAGCCAGGCACACCACCAAATCTGTGTGTCCCTTGAGAGTGGCGACAAGCACACCTGTCTTCGCATTCCAGATTTTGACTGCACACTCAGTATTACCATGATTTGGCCAGCTATCGTATCCACTAGTCACAAACATGATCATGTCTGGTGAATAGATGACTATGAACACATCTTCGTGCCCAGTCTCTATTGGACCAACGATTGTCTCTCTGTTCTCCACATCCCACTCCCTTGCAGTCCCATCTTCAGATCTGCTCACCACTTGCTGACCATCTCGACTCCAGCAAACAGACTTCACTGGCTGTGTATGCCCTGTCCATTTTGCGATAACTTTGCCTGTATCAATGTCCCACAACCTCACTGCACCATCCAAACTTCTGCTAACCACTTCCTTCCCATCCAGAGACAACGCTATCAACGTCCACACTCCACTATCCCCATCCTGCCAGTCCTCTCCTATCTGTTTCCCACTCTTCAAGTTCCATACCCGCAGTGAGCCATCTCTTGAACAAGTCATCATCCATTGTCTGCCCAGCAAATGTATAATGCCCTCAAGAAAATTGCTGTGACCTTCAAATTTCTGGCAAGGCCTTATCATTGATGCCTCCTGCGTCCTAGTAATGAGGGATGAAAACATGATCCTCAGTTTCAACTATGCTGTCTCAGCTTTCATCCAACAAAGTCCAAATTCATCACTTACTATGATATATTTTGGCACAGACACCATGGGCATTTAGGTCAAGTCAGAGCCAAGCATACTAGAGAAGTCCAAGATGGTGAGTTTTATATGTCACATCCTTGTGATTTCACAGCATGTACTATAGGCTGTGCAGCTTCGGCATACTCCCATGTGCTGATATCATGTGAATTTGCAACTGGTCTGGGTGCATACTTTAGGCCTCTGACTGTGCTGAGGTCTTGGTACCCTCAGAATAAGACCCATACCAAGACTGGCCATTTCAGACTCGTCCTCATCTTCACGTTACAGTAGAAGCAATCGCTTGCAAACATTGTTTTAACACTGGGCTTTTCACTCAAACTCGCTGTCACCTTCACTAAGCAGTCGTATCTTACAATGCATTCATTGCACTGCCAGTCCAGCCTGAAGCTGGATGCAAACAAGGTTGCTAGTTCTTGACTTACCAATTTATGGGAGATGTAGTATGAATTATCCTCAAAAGGCCTGAAGGTGGATTACTTGTATGATTAAATGACGATATACATAACACCAAGTGATCACCTTTGGTTTCCCATACTGCCACTGCAAATCTAATAGATGCTGACAAACATGAAGGACTAACATATGGAAGCCAGGACCACTGCACTCTATTTGTCAGCAAAATTGGTGTAAGACTCCGGAAACCTCAGAGACACAAATAAACAATATGAATTCAAAATCAACTTCCTGCCACTGTCGCGCTGCTTTACACCATTGAGTGCAAATTTCAAGTGTGTTGCCTAGAGAATCACATAAAATAAACTACCATTCATCTACCACATCCTCATCTTCATTGTCAGAAAACTCCCAGACCACCAGACCAGCATGGTCAAGCCCTTCCAGGTTTTTCTCTTCAACAACAGATACATCAGGTTCATCTTCCTGTGCAAGTGCATCCAGTTGTTGTGAATGTGATTCATCTATATGAACAAGATCAAGCCTTCAATATGTTATCTATGAGGAAGGAGATGCACCAAGACCCAATCTCCTGCCTACACCACCCATATAATAGGCTCCATCCTCATCCTCATGAAATGGCAAGTCTTGATGGTTCTCCAGGAGTGGTAAGGGATCATTGTCTTTGTCAGTGAGCACTATTTGTGGCAGCTGCTCATAGAGCTGAGAAATGATGTGGTGTAAGTCCAAGTAGACAGTCCATGCTGACTGGTGGTTGACAAGAGGGTGACCTAGCTCATCATAGCAACATTGTATGAAGTTACCAAATTCTGGAGGAACAAGTTCAAAGACAGCGTGATTGGGGTCAATGTAAGTATTGTGAACATGGTCTATGGCACCTGGTTCAAGAATGATCTAGATATAGGCAATCAGAAATTCAGAATACCACACAAGTGAAGATGGCAGGTGACAAACTTTGAAATCCAGTGCCCCAAAATCATTTGCTGAATTATAGATGAGGTTTGGCACTCCATGAGGGAGTACCTTGAACAAGTAGTCATGTCAGTGAGAGCAAGACAACACCAGCATCAGAAATTTGCCAACCTTGTTGCAATCATGTCTCTTTGTGGTATTATTTATATGGTCCTTGTATCCATCAAGCTTGTGTTGCAGCCATGGAATAAAGACCCATTGAAATATTAAACTAAAACCATCTGTCAGGACTATAGAGTGTAAAAAATGGAGTATGCACTGTTACAAAGTGTTGTCAAAGTCATACTAGCCAGATTCAACACCATGATCCAGATAAGTCTCAAAGCTGGGGGTGAACTGGTAGTGTAGCTGAGACCAAGTAATTTCTGGCATCACATTCTTCTTTGTATGCATCCAGCAATGCTGTAAGGTACCTTCCAGTGTTGGATCATGCCACTGATGGAGCATGGTGTGTGCATTGGCAATACCGAAGTTCTCTGATCCTGGGTCACTCTGAGTGACCATAGGCATGTCTAAAATGGTAAATCAATAGTGTTGCAGTCATACATAATAAGGCAAATCAACTTACAACCAAGCTCCTGGATGGTGTCAAGGTAATATGTTAGTATCCGCTGTGGGTTCTGGTTTGAGTGCCACACTCTCATCTACATGATGCACCCAGAGAATGGCTCAATGCCAGTGTGTAATGCAAGCCCAAACCTAAGCCACTTGTCATGCTGATCAACAGCAAACAAGTCATTAACACCCACTGCCCAGAACCATTTTTTCCAGAGCCTATGAGCCTTGCGCAGGTGAACAAGGTTGGCCTCATAAGTAGTGAAGTATGTGACCACTATGTTTCTGCAACATCACAAAAGATTCAGTATCATAGATAACACAAGATAGCACTTACCTTGAAACACTCATGGCTCACTCATGAAAGAGCAAACTGACTATTTCCCAGGCCCCTGCATTGGGATACGTCTCTCGAAGATCTATCATAGCATCACAAATACTTTTGATGGTGTGTGACTGTTGTTGTGTGTGCAGAAGGCCCATTCCAATTTGTATCTTCACAAATTTCGTCAGTCTAGATTTTGAAGTTTCAAGTGAGTAAGCACCACAGCACATTATGGTTGAATGACTTACCTGAGACCATAGCATGAGGTATCATAATGATTCCATAGGCTCTGAACAATCCACTTATCAGTTTGTTGTGTCTTCCACAATCAAATGATGTGCAGAGAAATGACATCAAGAGGTGCTAGAACTTAACATCAAGCCAGTAGTAGTGTTAGAGAACAACAAGTACATATGGGATGGCTTGTTCTGATTCAGCATCAGGTGCTCCAGCTGCTAGTGGATACAGTGAGAGAGGATTGAAGCAAGCACAATCAAAATTGGTGACAAACAAGAAATCATATATAAGCTAATTGACTTTGCCAGAGGTGGGACCAGACAAATCTGCTCTGGACAGAGTTGGTTTGATAGTGGTTTGATAGTGAATCTCACCAGTGGGGTGAGGTGCCTGGTCAATACACCCCTAAGGAGACTACTATTAGTAATTTTGATGCCAGTGAAGTAGGCGCATGACTATGATGAGGTGCAGTGCTCAAAGGAGGCAGTTCAGACTCTTGGCAAGTGACTTGGGGTTGCAAGGAGTTGCAAGGAGAATTGTTTGCAATTGACAGTCCAGCCAGATCACACAGGATTGCCAGTAAAGGAGGGTGATATGACTTGGAGGAAGGCAGCTGATGAATTGTTGGTGGAGGAGTAGTCATCAGGAAATTGACCTGAAAATAACATAGCATTATAAAGCTTTATCTAACATAAAATTCATATAATCTCTATCATAATTGCAGTCAGCCTGACAAAGCTTTAGATAGTTAGACTATGCTGGGGAAAACCACCAAAGATACAATTATGATACACATTGCAAACATCTGCCATCCTTGACAAAGGTTTATAATGCCAGGCTGCTTCAAACAAAACTGCCATGAAATTGCCAAAAGTCTTAACATTGACACTCATTTTATCATTTTATATATCAAATCAGATTTTAATTGGGGTTGGGGTGTACATATGTGGTATTAATACAGGAGAGAAGAGAGACATAGTAGAACATAAGGTAGAGAGATAGAGAGATGTCAGGTACCTGCCTCAAGAGAGAGAAAAAGAACCATCAGGAAAGGCTAGGGAGGACCAGAGAGGAGGGCCAGGGATGAGCCATGAAGGGCCAGGAAGGAGGGCCAGGAAGGAGGGCCAGGAAGGAACCAGGAAGGGCCAGAGAGGGTCCAGGTAAGGGCCAGGAGGAGCCAGGAGGGAGAACCAGGGAGGAAGAGGGCTAGGGAGGAGCCATACAGGACCAGGAAGGACCAGGAAGGAACCATGAAGGGCCAGGAAGGAGAAGGGCCAGGAAGGAAGAGGACCAGGAAAGAGGGCCAACAACTTGAAGGAGGGCCAGGAAGAGCCATGAAATACCAGGAAGAAGCCATGAATAGTAGGGAGAGGAGGATGTTAGCTTGAAGGGCTAGAAGAGGTGCACAGTTAGAGTGTGGATGAGATGAGAGAAGACAAGTCTCAAAAATGTGAACCACAACTTACATAAGCATCATGTGACATGACTCCTGTAGTGCAATGTCATGCAAGCAGTGGTAGTAAAGACCAATTGGTGGAAACTTGTTGATACAATTACAAGACATGATATATCTACATCAGAATGTTGGTTCTTTTGCAATACTTGTTCATTTAATACCAATATGTCATACTCATTATCAACCTTTATCTTTGTATATAACTTTATATAATTCAGTGAATTTTTGATTTGATTTTACCAACCAAATCTAGGAAAAACAAGTTTGTGCCAATTTTCAGATGGCCAAGACACATCAAGGTGATATGTCTGATATAGTCATATCTTAATTCATATATGTGTGGTACCATGGTAATGATATCTAAGGCTAAAACATGACATGTAATAATGATTATTGATTACCAATTATATCTGGTCATACCAACTTTAAGTTGATTTCCTGGTGCTAAGTGTGGTATAAGCACTGAGGTTAGTATCTCCATGACTCGGAGGAAGGCAGCTGATGAATTGTTGGTGGAGGACTCAGCCAGTAAGTGTGGTACAAGCACTGAGGTTAGTATCTCCAAGGTGTAACTTACTTGGGTGGTGTCAGCTTACTAGTAGGTCAAGATATCTATGTCAATCTTTGGGACAAATGCCAAGGAATGATTTGCCTGCATGGTAAGAAGTGCCCTATCTATGATAGTATTTCTACTCCTGACATACTTTGAGTCTGGACAGATCTGTTGCAGTGTTCACTGTGTTTCTCATGGTATGGTGGTGTCCAATATATAATGGCAAGTCATATCCAACAGCAAACCACTTTCCCTTGTCATGCCCAAGTTCAAGCTCATCTCTCAGTTCACAGAAGACACATTTGCAGCAGAGGATCATATTTGTGAACACCCTGTTTGTTGAGCAAGGATTGCAAAGGGGGATCCTTGCTTTTATGTTGGTACTGTTGACCCAGGGAAACCTGGTCACTATGTATGCGGTCCATGTCATGCCCACTATCTAACCATGCCAGCCACATCTGTGAGACCCACTGGTATGCTTAACCCAGTGCCACTGTATCACGTGATGACTGACATGCAGTTGTTTTTGCAGCAGCTGGTTCAAAATCCAGTTCAACGTCAAGTGCTGTTCCACAACTCTCCCGCACCTTTCCTGACCCGCGCATGATCGGCCAAAGCGTCAACGCCACACAGAGAAAATGTATGTTTAAATCTTGTCGGGTCTTGGAAAACAGAGTATATACATATTTCCCAAACCTTTGAGAAACAATACAGGATATCTATACCGCAGTTTGGGCCAGATCGGTTGGAGCTGCCTCCTGTGAAGGTGTGATTAACACACAACTGTGTTATTTGATATGCATGCAATGAGTCGTAGAGATAAGTGTGGTCAACGTTTACCATATGTAAGGACGAAACGGTTGGTTCCGCGTAAGCAATTCACGTGACTCCGGTACACGCAATAAACAATGCCATGTCTTCGTTGTATGTAATCGAGGGATAAGATAACATCTTGCGATGAGAGAGAGATCGTCGTAAAAATTAATGCTGACCATCGGTATACTCAGGAGCGGTACAACAGACAAAGAGCCAGAAACGAGCCCAGCGACCAGCGTGTTTAATCGTTGCATGAGGATTTGTATTTGAAGTCGCAACGGGAGGTGCGTTGGAGGTGGAGACGGCAGGATGGGGTTGCGAAGACTGAGTTTGAGCTGTGCCACTGGGTTGCTGCGTGACGGCGCTATCGGGAGGGCGTAAGCTTCCCGCAGTAGGAATTTTCAGGATTAGCTTTCGTCTCTCCCTTGCTGAGGCGTTTCTCTACGTGATGCGAGATAAAATAATATGAGGGGTTTAATATCCGAGAAGAAAGATAGGAACATACACGTTTGCCTTTGGCATATGGGACGTCGACTACTGATGAGGGACGCTCGTGTAACTCGATATCTGCGCCGCTTAGTCTAGCAAAGAGACGGTTTCGAACCCAATGGAACGGGCGGGGTCGGGATAGCGTATCGTGTGTATCGCGGTGTGAAGGGCGGAAGAAAGATAAAAACCGACTAAGAAGCGTGCTTCTATGCGAAGGTGATGATCGATGGTGTTGTGCAGAAGACTGGAAACATTTGGGCGATGAAAACAGGACCAGATGAGACATAATTGACGACGTACGTGAGCGCGATCAGGTATGTCGCCAAAAAAACCTTGGGGTACCCGATTTGCGACCTTGATTGGCTGGCGGACAGGACGGCGTGTAGCATCAGTCTAGAGTGCATAAGCTTGGGTGCAATGTGAACTGTTGATGAAAGTTTCACGTACAGCCAGTAGCGACTTGTCGGGCTTGTCCAAAAGAAGGTCGTCGAGGCCAGCTTCTTTTAATATCGCAGAAACATCCCAAGTATACGCGTTTTTGTCATCGCAGCAAGTGGCTAGTAGCTTTCCATCTGCTGAAAACGACACGACAGCCACTATATGTATGGTTGAGGGGCGAGCTGATGGGCTGATTGTCGTCGAGGTTCCATAATCGTGCTGTACCGTCCCAGGACGCGCTTGCGAGGATGCGGCCATTCGGAGATATTGCAATGCCAAAGATATTATTGGTGTGCCCATCCAGTACAGCGATTTGCTTCCAGTTTGAAGTATTCCATGTCCTAATCGAGTAATCGGTTGACCCGGAGATAAGCGTTTTCCCATCTGGAGTCCAAGCCAGGCACACCACCGAATTTGTGTGTCCTTTGAGAGTAACGACAAGTTTGCGCGTCTTCGCACCCCAGATTTTGACTGAGCACTTGGGGTCATGAATCGACCCGTCCCATCCAGCAGTTGCAAGCATGGTCATGTCTGGCGAGTAGATCACTGTGAACACCTTTTTGTGCCCAGTCTCGATTAGACCGAGGATCGTCTCTCCCTTCTCCACATCCCATTCCCTTACAGTCCCATCCATTGATCCGCTCACCACTCGCTGACCATCTTGACTCCAGCAGACAGATCTCACAGTTTCTGTGTGTCCTGTCAATTTCGCGATAACTTTGCAAGTGTCGATGTCCCACAACCTCATTGCACCATCCGAACTTCCGCTAACCACTTCCTTCCCATCCGGAGACAACGCTATCATCCACACTTCGTCATCCCCGTCCCGCCAGTCCTCTCCTATCTGTTTCCCACTCTTCAAGTTCCATATCCGCAGCGAGCCGTCCAATGAACAAGTCATCATCCGTTGTCCGCCCGGTAAATGTATGGCACCCTGGAGCCATTTGGTGTGTCCTTCAAATTTCTGGCAGGGCTTTATCTCTGATTCCTTCTCCGTCTCAACGATGGGTGAAGACATGATCCTCAGTCTCAACTACGTTGTCTCAGCTTTCATTCAACAAAGTCCAAAATCATCACTTACTACAATATGTTTTAACAGAGACACGATGGGCGTTTAGTTTGAGTCACAGTCGAGTGCACTGGATGTTCGAGATGGTACGTTTTATATGTGACATCCTCGTGATTGCTTCACAGCATGTATTATATAGGCTGTGCAGCTGAAGCGCTCAAGCCTTATCTGTAACTATGACTCGTCTTCTCTCGGTTACAATCTTGATCCCCGTTTTTATTGCCTGGCCGATGATCCATTGCGCCTCAGGTCGCACATCTGTCTTTAACCAGCCAGCTGCTCCTCAAACGCACCCGTTGTCTGGCCTATGTCTGTCAACACTAATCGATCAAGCGGTAAATCATCACAACCTGATGTTAGTCCAACCGTCATCGATGCATAGTTTCCCTCACCCAAACGCGCCTCCTGTCGGCTATAGTGCTAATCGGACTACTACCTGACCAGTAGTGCAGGGTGACAGGAACTCACCGTCATCACTCAACATATCAGTGATGCAGATGACACCTCCATCGGCGTACTCCTGCGCGCTGATATCATCAACAATGAATTCCACGTTACGGCTCACAATCCCAATCGCTTGCATCTCATTTTGGTTTCACCTTCACTAAGCAGTCCTGCATAACGTCTCTTATGCCTGCGCAAAGCCTGGCCCTTCGTAACTTACGACGCTGGACGATGTCACAGTCCTTGTTTGCCAAGCTCATATTTCACGTTATTTATAACTATTATATCTGTCCGCGATGGATGAATGATGTACTATATGCTATGTCCTCTATTGTGTGCCGTTCCACGCAATGTATTTTACTTGTCCAGCGTTCAATCTTGAGCTGGATGCAAGCAAGGTTACTGCCTACGCCGGTCCCCGACTTGTGTAAGGTGGAAATATCCTCGTAGGGCCTTAATGTGGATTACTTGTACAGTTGAATATCAATATCCAAAACACCAAATGGTCTATGGCTTCCCAGGCTGATAGAGCGATGATCGTGAGCGCCCATCACCAAAACCCAAGGAAAACATTACCTTGTTCTTCTTGGGTATAAATATGCTACCCTTCTCCTTCTTGAAACGTTTTTGGGGTGGCTGCATTGTCATCGTCCTCGTATCACGTGAGGTGGAAGGTCCGCCTTCGCCATTTACACCTTCAGCCAAACGACGCTTCTGACCAACATCCCTGGGAATCGCCAGGTTGGCAGGAGAATCTTTCATCGACGGTTGCTCCTCGATCGTCTGGGAAGGCTTAGAGGAGGGAGGCCGACAACTAGACTCAGCAAAGCTCTTGGGAGTGACCAGATCATCTGGTTTAGGCGGCAAAGTCACGACTGGCTGCTTCTTGGGTTTCGGTGGTGATAGAGGCCTGCGAACCTGGGGGTTTATAGCTTGGGTGGTGAAAAAGCTGACATCTGCCTGTATCTCAGTGAGTTCAACTAGCAAAGGAGTATGCAGATGTAGAAATCACACCTCTGTGAATAATGACCTTTCACGAGCGTCCTGTACAATTTTGCGCCAGTTCTCGTCGCTTCGCTCGAGAGTAGGCGCATGGCCCAGAATAAAGAGAGATGAACGTGCACGAGTTATGGCGACATTCATTCTCCGAACGTCTGCACGCCGTTAGTTGCTTGTAAGTATACAAATAAAAACATCATACCCGACAGGAAACCGACAGATTGTACTCCGGGACCAGCACGAACACAAGAAAGGATGATAACATCCTTCTCTTGTCCCTGGAATCCATCGACAGTGTGGAAGTGTACTCTTCCCTTAATATCTCTCCCAAATCGTTGTTCAAAAGCTCGCTGAAGCTCTATGACTTGGCCGCGGTACATGGAAACGATACCAACGCGGAAGTCGAAGTCTATGTCCGAAAACTCCTTGCACAAGCGTGCGTATAAGGCGAGGGCAACTTGGCTCTCCGTAGTGTTCTTTAGAGAATGACCGGTTGCGCTTATGGAGGTTTCTTGTCCCCGGTTAACGTTGAAGAACCTGTATGTACCAAATTTAGGATGCAAATGCCACGGCTGCTTTGTTTTGGTATCCATGTCGGGACCGTCCAAAAGTCGGCCCTCGTAGAAAATCCTGCTGGGAAGACGGCTAATATCGGGGTGCATGCGGTATTGGATGCTAAAAACTGTGAGCGCGTAGATTATTACTGAAAGACGGAAGACATACCTGAGGAGGTGAACGGCGTCCGGGCGGTGTTTCTGAAGGCGCACGAAGAGCGATTGATTATACCGGTACTTACAGGCCTTCAATAATGATCAGCGCATATCTAGCAGGTATTGCTAAAGCTTGGCTTACCTCCTGAGACAAAACTGTGGGAGGAAGTTGTTGTGGATCTAGACAGGGCTCAATGGGATGTCAGGAGTACGAAGGCATATTACCTACCACCGACCATGATACATCTTTGACAACGAAACTTGAGTGGTATCAATGAGCTCAACTCGATGGACTGGGCTGCTTCGTCGATGATGACCATTTCAAAATCAAGTTGTTCGAGCGTTTCATGCCCTGCACCTGACAGAGTGCAACAAATGACATCTGCCTCTTGGAGAACCTCCATCCTGACGCGTCTCCGTATAGCATCGAGCGTCCTAGAATCCGATTTTTGTTTATCTTTCAACCGATCAAACTGTTGCGTCAGCGTCATCCGTCGTGAGTTTAGCCTCTTGATTTCTTCCTCCAGGACCACCATCCGGGCATTGTTGTCACGAACAGAAGCCAACTCTTCCAACTTCTGCTGCTTGATCTGCTTGACCTGCTCGATTTCACCTCGGAGTACGTTGATTTCGTTGTGCGCATCCTTGGAAGTGTTGGCGGGAGCTTGGCCATTGAGCTTTTGTTCTACCAAGTAGTCAAGGGAAACGTCTTTCACACTGATATCGATTGCCTTGTCTGTTCCGACTCGGACCACTTTGAGGGAACTTGCTTTCCGTTGAGGGCCTCTGTATCCTTCTTTGAGACGTCCAGCAATTTCGTTAATCGCAGCATTACTAGGTGCGCAGAGCAGGATTTTCTTCACGGGCTCTGAAGAGGTTGCGGTTTTTCCAACATGAATGGAGGTCACCACACGTGGACGCTTCTGAAGGAAAGCTTCAACGAGACCGCAGATGGTTGACGTCTTTCCAGTTCCAGGAGGTCTGCGGGGATTGTTCATTCGCGGTGCCGGTCTGATACCAGATAGAACTTACCCTTGGATGAGCGCAAAGCCATCTATCTTGAGCGACCCTATTATAGCTCGTGCTTGTGGCTCGTTGACACTGTATGTAGACATGGTGTGCTGCACCTCGCGCTGCTCAATGGGTGGCATAACAGACAGTTTCGGAGTTAATATCGTTTGAAAGAGATCGTAGTGGGGCAATGCCACAAGAGCGCCATACTCCCGGTGAAGAGTGCTCAAGCTATCGAGCGATAAGCAATTGTTGCAACACAGGCAGAAAAACGTACCTGAAAACCTTCTTCAGGCTCCAAACAGTGTTAATATGCAGACCTATGTCGCCCATGGTGGGATGCACGAAGCAGCGAAGACCCATCTGCGATCCAAACGGCGTGGTCCTAAAACTCTGAACCTTCATCATGATCGACTTTTTACCCTCGGGATGTCGAAGCAACACGACGTCCGTCTCTCCCAGCCGCCAGTCTTTCTGGACAGGCTCCGAAATGGTTGCGTCAAAGTCCACGAAATCATCGGTGAACTGCTTGGAGGTGATTCTACAATCGTACGCCCCTTGTACCTCTTCTTTGTTTTGAACAATTTGCGACCAACATTCTAGGAGTAACAAGGGCTCAAAAACTCGGAGATAGTGCTGATAGTCCTGGAAGGTGTCGGGAACATGAATCAATGGTGCTTTTTGGCCAACGGTGGGAGGGTTAGGACCATCGTGGTCATAATTCCAAGATAGGAGGGTGCGATGCAGTCCGGTGGTGTCTGGTTTCAAACGCAATGCCCGACGGCGAGCATCTTCTCGACGGTGGAGACGCTCCATGGTCGCACTCTTGGCTTGATTTTGAATGTCGAGCAACTTCACTTGACGTCTTTCCATGGGTTTCTTGACTTTTGGTGACCGCTGGAATTTACCCAGGGCAACCAGGCCGCCTTGCATGGCTTCAGCCTCAGATCCAGAATCACTGGAATAATCTGATGCGGGAGCTAAGGGGAGAGTCGATGGTTTACTGACGGTCGTCGACGTACTTGTTGATGACCGCTGGAACTTGGGAAAGGCGCCCTTCATAACGTCGGGCTTGAGTTGGTCGCTCTCAGCAGGTTTCCGAGGAACGACATCACTTTGCTTTCGTGTTGCCGCCTGTACCTTCTGCGGTGGAGGTTTGTGGGGTTTGGTAGGTCGAGTCTGCGGCTCACGAACAACGGAAACGACTTCAACCTCCTCCTCGAATGAGGTCAGCGCGTCTTCTAACTGGGTTATTCGACTTGCGTCAAGTTTGGTCTTTGAAGCGCCGGATTTATCATTGCGGGAAGTCTCGACGTGCTTGTTCAGCTTGGTAAGGGTAGCTTCCGATGGAGGAACATCAGTTGTCCGGAAACATTCGAGAACCGTCTGAAGCAGCGCAAAGGACTGATGGAGAAGCTCTTCATCGGAGAGCCGCAGCCACCGTGTCAGCTCTGTAAGCACTGGCTGCAGGTCGTTCATCATGTTCTTCCCCGTCCGAGAAAGTTTTCGAACTTTGCCTGTTAATAATGAGGATGATTCATCCGTGGCGGTGACGCTGGCAAACTCCATGACTCTCCACTGTGCCAGCAAATCTCTCCCGAATATGAGCGCATCTCGCATCCAAACTGTCATGTCCGGAATTTCAAAGTACTCTGACCAGAGGGGTGTGCGTTTGAATATCACGGTAATGGACCGTGTCATCAAGTTCCACAGTCGAGGTATTTGCGCTGCAGGCGCTTCTTTGTCTTTTGGCTGCAGGAATGAGCCGTCATGCAACAATCCGTC